AATCCCTGAAACGTCATTTTACTGCTGTAAAAAAGGTATACTACATTTCAGTTTCATATTTCGTGTTTCCGACGCTGAAGTAGTAGAGTTTATTGATTTTTTTATAAATATCACCAATTATACCGAAAAATGGGTCCTGGGTATTAAATTCGACTTCATAAGTACCGAATTATATAGTGGACTTTTACTGCAATTTAGATAATCGGAATTTATAGGGCGAAACACATGCAAAAACACAATTACAAAACTAATGGAGTTGTATCAGGCGAACCAGTAAAGCGGGCAATAAATCTGGGGAATCTGATAATTTGATTAAATGATAACTCTGACGGGAAATAAATGTAGGTTTTCGACGAAGTACGGTGCAAAATTTGAAACGAAAATTGCGTACATACATGTTAACTACAAAACCATGTTTTGTGTGTATTGAAATGAATAGGGTTATTTTACTCGTATTTGTTTATTCGTTGTGTTGTTGTCCAAATAACACTGCTTTATAAAACATGAATTATACAGTAGGTACTTCCTCGTATAGAGAAATGATTTCTGTAAAAAGCTAATTTGTATTGCATTTTTTTTCAAAAATTGAATGTTTTCACTAGTAAAATACTAATAAAGATGCAACAGAATAACAAAATCTGTACTGCTCGTTAAGCAAGCTACACATGCTCTAGTCGACCTCTCCGATCTCTCCGTATCGGACGATTAAAACAGTGCATGCGGCGAAGCGCTACATCTCCCCGATCGCGTAGGAAGACGCAACGATTTTCACTACACTTTCCAAAAATCTCTGCTAAGCCGATAAGATGCCATGATTGCCGCAAGAACGGGTACGAGAAAGACGAAACTAGTATTGTATATCATTTTATCTGCTCCCACTGTAGTAAATAGACTATTAATACATTGATTTTAAGGAGGTAAGTTTAAGGAGGGATTTTACCGCAGAAGTGCTGCTATGGACAACGGGAAGTAAATGAGGTAACTTACCTCCCTAGTTATAAATGCATATTTTCTGAACAAATAAACATAAATATTTGATAAACATTACATTTTATTAATTATTATGAAGAAATATTTATAGTAATTGTACAGTTATTACATTTAGTAACATTTATAAAACCTGTATAATTATTTCCCTCGCGTTTACTAATTTTCACATTTTTCTCAAAATGATTTGACCGCTCCATTTCAGTCATCGGAGGCTGAATATTATCTGACTGATCCATTAAAACAGCATGATGCGACGTACTAGACTACTAGAACCTGGAGTTGAAGCGTCATTGTAAACAATCCTGTTGACTATTTCACTTTTGTTACTTAAACTATCAGCAACATAACTTTCTGCAATTGTGGCTGATTTCCACCAACCACGCCGCCTCTTGATTGCTAATACATCAACTCCTGCATTAGCCAGTAACGTTGCCGATGTTCTTCGGAATGAATGGCCTGTATATGTTTCAGGATGTTCTAGTTTCAAAAACTGTGCAATCTTATTAGGAACCACAGAAAGGATATTCTTGCCGACTGGTTGGTTGTAACATCTGCCTGCTTGATAGCGGAAAAAAACGTGAAATTTCAATTTTAATTTCCAATCTAATCTTGATATATTTCCTGAGAATTTCTAGGTGAGAAACAGAACCCTGACGAGAAGTAATTGCAAACGTAGATTACATACCATTTTTCAATAATGTCATGGAAATTTTTGAAATTGACGTTGTCTAAAGTAAGTTTGCATAACTCATCAGAATAGCATGCTCCTGCAATGCCTAAGACCGTCACTACCTTCATTAGCAAATATGTGTTATCGGGTGCCTTCTTTAAAATTTCTATATGCTTGTCCGTAGCGCACTTTCGACTTCTCGGGCAATAAAAATTCGCACACAGCATTGGCTGCACTTTCTATTTGAAAATCATTCATTTAGAAATAATAATTCAAAACCAGCAAAATTGCAACTTTTATGTAGCTTTGTTTATAAACACCTTAGAAACGACAAAATCCAAACAACCAAGGCGACTTTGCAAGATTTCTAATGTCAAAATTAATTGATTAAGGAATGTCAAAAAATAAAACTTAATCAGCAGTTAAGTATAATTTACCAGTCTCGGACTTTAATCGTCATCCTTCGCTCCGCTCGGGCGCAAAATCGTCCTCGACTGGTAAATAATACTTACCTTCTTTATGTTCTAAATAACTGTTACTTTATAACAAAAATGTATAAAGAAAGGTTCTTTTCTTTCCAAAACGTTAGTTATTTGGCTTATAGATATGGAAACATTTTTAGCTGCAACTAACAGTACCAATACATAATTATTATCGTTCTTAGTGTTTTATCAAATTGTATAATAAGCAAATAAATTCACCATTTACTTTTATCGAATTGTATATCAAGCAAAATAAATTTACCATAAACTAAGTGTGAAGAATAAAATTTCCCTTATTTTGGAAAGAGTACTGACCTCATTTTATCTCATTCAGACGGGTTAGATGTTGCTCACGATTTTCAAGTAGGGAAGAGCATTTTTCTTTTTGAAATTGGGGTGTACGTTCCAAACAAGATGGAAATAAAATCAGACTAAAAAAGGAAAATTCGTCTCAGGGGATGTTCAGAGTAATGTTCCACAATTTGTTACTTCTTTCTGTGCTACTTGATTGAAGGTAAAGGTGAAAAAAACATTAAATGGGAAAAAGACACGGCAATACATTGCTTGTAAAAAAACTTGAAATGGATTCAAGACTTCAAGATTTATTTTTAGTTAATGCCTGTATTCTTTTAAACTACTTTTATATTTCCCCTTCCTTTAAGAACTATTATTCAATACTTAATATTATATGCGAGGTTCAAGTATACCTACAAATTGAAATCTATTGTAACTACTGTGTCCTCTTTATTAAATTGCTCCACATTTTACTGGCACTAATTTTAATTATTTACACTTTGATCAAACACATTCAGTCTCATTATATTATTAAATTTTCCAACAAATTGAAGCCTCACTCATACAGCAGTTGATTATAAAGAAATGTATAAGAAATCAAAAGCGAAACTATAAAAGACCGGATTAGGTCACGTACTTGTCCTAATTTTTTTTAGTGGGTGCAAGGACTGGCCTATTTTTGTCGCGGTCATCATTCCAGGAGAGAGCACTAACAATAAGTAATTCGCTATAGCTTAATACACCCCTGACAAATAATTCAGTAAAAAGATTAACGGGTTTGAGGCAACAAAAGTACAACTTCACTTTTTTCTTAAAATTTCCGACGATGGTTCGTCACTTATTATCTACTGTCACTTTTTTGAAAGTGTTTATCACCATATAATTATGAATGTCTCCTCCAAATACAGGCTGTTACAAATTCTCTTCTCACTACAAGGATCTCGGAAACGGTAAGAGATACGAAGTCGCTTAAATGGGGGCAAAGTTGCGTAATCAGGGGATCAACATTATGCCTCTAAAAAATAACTAAACATTTTTGGTATTAGTATTATCAATCAATAACACAAAAATCAACACTAATATTTTAAATAAACAATATCAACTAATAATGTAACAAAGTCAACATTAACATTTTAAATAAACTGATATTTGTAATCACATTAATATAATATTTCAGTAGATGCTCAAAGTTACTTTCTTGTTCTTAAACGCAAACATTAATTCTTCGAAAATTAGAAATTATCCAATAATTGTGCATTACCTCTTATAACATTAATTTCATGTTGTATTCTTTCCCATATTCGTTTTCTGTATTTACTGAAAAGTTATTTTAAACTGTGGTCCTCAACGTTCCCCAAATGAAATAATTACATGGGTTTAGGTCCGGGGATCGAGGTGGCCATTTTAAAGGGGCATTATTTCCTCTACCTATCCACCTGTTAGACCTTTAATAACCTGTAATACCTACCTGTACCCTGTAATACCTGTAACCTGTAATAACTGGTCTTTTAATACTCTATTAAAGGAACTTTTTGAAAGCCAACCTATGCCGTTAAACGCCTTTTATTTACTTGAGGAATTTCTTCGCCCCTTTCCAAAATTTGTTCCTCCAGCTGAATAATTCCGGCCGTACATTATCCACGATTTAATGATACAGGTAAAAAACGACCTGTTTCCCGAAGGCGTCTCTCCGCATTAGCAAATGTTTTGTGATTTGGAGTTCTTCGATTAGGAAATCTTTCAGCATATGTTCGAACAGTAGCACAACAATTTCCTTCACAATAACCCAAAACTACTAACATATCAGTTTGTTCAGCAAAAGTATAAATTGCAATAAAAAACAAAGTAAGCTAAAATTAAATCACAGCTAGCTTGACAGAACCTTTTAATTATTGTTATGAGTTTGTTTCTCTGTTATATGGCACCTCGTACTAAAATGTTGTATTTATCTTAAATTGATTTTATATTATTTAGTGTGTAAAAAATGTGAATTTTACTAGAAACCCATAAACGATATCAAAATTTTGTAAGAGGAAAAAAATCTTCTAAAATAGTGCTTACTTTTAAAAATATAAATTCTGTCGTCACTGGCGTACATACAAAAAAGTTACGGGATAGCCAGTAGCGCACAGGCACTAGAAATAGAACATCCTGTATATGTATTCTCACCAAATTCTATATTTACATTGCCCTTATATAAAAAAATATGTGTACCAAATTTGAAGTTTCTAAGAAAAACAGTTTTCAAATTATTTGAAAAAAACTAGCTTATCTGTTCTATATTTAGAAGGCTATATCTCAGTAGGCGTGCACTTTTGTATATAGGTAAGTTAGGCTAAATGGTCTTGTTTTCATCCAAGGAACCTGTAGTCAAGCGTTGTCCATCCTTTTCAGGGACACCCTGTATAATTATCGTCATCAAATATGAAAATTCTATCTCTTTGAAGGAATATTCCTTTACATGAGAATGGCAACAGTAACATGTATATGCGATTAATAAGTTGACAGGAACGATTTTATTAAGATTGTTTGTAAAATAATTCCAAAATGCCTGCGGCGAGTACCTTGCTTGAGGTCCCCTAGAGTGTCGACGAGGACGTCGCATTGCAAAGACTCCCATTCGTTCTGACCCGCTAAACCGAACTGCCTGGCTAAATACCTCGCCACCGCAATGCTCTGAGCGACTGGCTTTCCGTCAACCTCCAGAACAGGAAGCATTCCAAATGGTGTTCCTGAAATGGAAATTAAGATTTTATTAACACTAAATTGATAATTTGGTATTTCTAAGTAAGCGCATAGAGTGACAGGATGTACTCTCTAGGAAAAATCGTGTCAAAAAGTCGGTTTAAATTGAAATATAATTTAGAATAAGTAATGAAATATACAGGGTGGTTCACAACTTATCCAAAAAAATTTGGGAATAGATGCAGCATGAGAAATGGAATCAATATCGTAAAAAAATTTTTTGTAAAATCCTTAGTTTCCGAGAAAAAAAATGTTGAAATTATAGTACATTCAACCACTACATAGCTGGACAACTGTAGTCTCTAGCGTCATTCGCCACGTAGCCTCAGCGACTTCAAATAGTAATTCGGATTTTGTGATCGTCGTTGCGATATTTACCTGTTATCTGTGGTGTTTACAATAGGTTTTTAGTAGTTAGTGTCAAAAATGGGTAGTTAGTGCCAAAAATGGTTTGTGTGTACTCGGAGTTGATGAATATCATTTTAATTTATGGTGAAGCATTTGTGTTATGGTGAAGCAAGACAACATTTGTGTTAGTTCGTAGACACTGAGTACAACGGACCCAACACATTGGTGGATAAAATTTTGAACAATTGTTGTAACATCAGGTATGTCAAATGATTTTATTATTTAAAAACACAAATTAATTTTATTAATTAATAAAGGCAAAAGCAGTTGAATTTGCCGATATAAAATAGGTGCGATAAAATTCTATTTACATATTTCTTTCCTTGCGAAAGTTTTTGTCCGTTTTTATCATACCGCCATACCGGTCGCATTGTGCGAGGTCAGGTTTTACAGTGGACCAGTTTCCAGTGCCGTGCAGAAGTGTATTTTTAAATCATTTTCGAACTGCCCTTTTTAATTTTTTCTTTACAAAACTGTATTTGTTAAAGTCCCCTGTACACCCAGAATTTTTTTTTCGATAAGTTCTGAATCACCCCTGTATAGATATTAAATTATCAATTACATAACTTTTAAATTAATAATATTCTTCTCTTTCGTGTTTCTTAGAAAATATTAAATTTATTACTTATTTTTTTTTCTTATGGTTCGTCGTTTCTAGTAGTTGACATAATTATGATTGTATGACAGCTAGAATTTTTTTTTCAGGAACTGTAGAGTAAAGATGGCTCTTTCAAAAACCGTATCAAAAGTTGACCTGCGATATACAGTGGGCAAAAAAAATCGTGCCAAACCTGATAATTTAAAATTTGAAAAATCTCGACGTTGGTGGCATTCTCACACGACCGCTACTGGTGCAAGTAGAAATATTCAGATCACCCCAAAAAATGCATCTTTAAAACTATTTGTAATAATTAATAAAAATAAATAAATAGAAAAATAAAATTTAAACACTTTGTATCTCGGAAACAAAGCATATTTCCACCTACGATATGAACTTTTCTTCGAAAAATAACTTCGGCAGCCACCCCCTAAAATACTTCGCACTTATTTACAAACACTCTGTATAATAATAATAATAATAATAATATTAATTATTATTATTATTATTATAATTATATGATTAATAAAACGTCAGGGGACAATTTTTTTCGTATAACTGATTAAGTTGACTATTACTTTACCAAATTTCAGCTTTTTCGGTATCAGTTAACCTAGCGCATATTTTTTACTTTGTTTAGATGAAAAGCTGAGGCATAATCCCCCCCACTCTAAAGTCAGCTGATGCGTTTTTTTTGTTTATAATATAATTAACTCGTCGACAAAGTCTCAGCTTTTGCGGTATTAGTTTTTATTATTATTATTTTACGTGTGTGGGGGAGGCTGCCGCAGCTATACCCCGTGGAACTGCGCAAGCTGAAGGTCGATTCATTTACTAGTATTACTAAATAAAACGTAGAAAATATTTTCAGCTTTTGCCAAATGACCAACTCAAAACGGTCGCTGGCTCCGGGCTACTATACTACTAACATCGGCGCCTTCGCCAAAATATAGAAGAAAAATTATATATCAATAATGAAAATGTGTAGTCCACCAAATTACTTGGAGACAAAAAAATTTCTACCTGGACTTTCATAAATGGAAATAGTAAAGGGGCTTATAATAAACGTAAAAAAATAAATGCGTGAGCAGGAATGGCGGAGGGTTCACTTGAGGGGTTGAAAAGTGGTGAAAAATTGTATCATTGGAATTTTTGACGAAAGTTGACGTTAACCAAAAAAAAATCTAATACAAAAGTTATAGATCATGCAAAAACTCACAACTTTTATAGAGGTCACTTTTTAAGACAACCTTAAAATTTCCGAGAAAAAAACGAAACACAGGTTTCTTTCTAATTTTTCGTTTTTTATTTCTCATTTCCGCAAAAATAATTTAATTTTGACAAAACTTGGTGAAAGTAAAGCTTTCTGTGTCTTAAATAACCACACAATTTTTTTTAGATAAAAAAAAAATTAAGACGTTTCCGAGATTTCTTCCTGTCTAAAACACTTAAAAATTCCACTTAGAAAAATCATCGTACAGAGTTCTGCCGATGAACATGTTTTGACATATAACGAGCGTTCAAATAAAAACGTGGTCAAGTTGGTTCTGAAAATTTGGACGTAGGGCGTAGCGTATAGCAAATGAACTTAAACGTCATCTGTCAAAGCGCTATATCGCCGCTATCAATTTGAATATTTTCGTTTTAAAAAGCGTTTAAAATGGTGTTTTCTCAAGAACAAAAAGTGTTTATCATAGAGTCCTACTTTAGAAATGGACGCAAGATTGATGGAATATGGAAGTATTCTATTGAGGAATGTTTCATAGAATTTCAAAATCAATTTCCCGGCGTTGTTGAGTACAAAATTTTTCAAAGTGCAGTTCAGCGTTGTGTTAATGTTTTTCGTGAAACGGGCAGTGTAACAAGAAAAGAAGGAAGCGGCCGACCTAAAAAGCGGACTGAAGAATTAAAAGAAAATGTCCAACAAATAATGGAAAATGCGCCAAGAACTTCTGTACGTGTTTTATCACAAATGGTGGGAGTATCAGTCGGTACCTGCCACACAGTGTTAAAAAAAGATTTGCGTTTGTTCTCCTATCGTTTAACTTGTCAGCAAGAACTTCATGAAGTTGATTTTCCGCGACGGGCTGTATTTTGTGAATGGTTTTTAAACAACTACGGTGAACTTCATAATATCACCTTTTTTTCTGATGAAGCCTGGTTTCATTTAAGTGGTTACGTAAACTCACAGAATATGAGAATGTGGTCTTCTGAAAAACCAGATAACTTTTTTGTCGAGGGCCCTCTACACGCTCAAAAAATTGGAGTTTGGTGTGCTCTCAATCGAAGGAGGATTTATGGACCTATTTTTTTTAATGGTACTCTTACTGCGCAAAGGTATAGAGAAGAAATTATCGCTCCTTTTGTTAACCAGCTGGAAGAAAACGAAATTACAAACTTTTACTTTCAACAAGATGGCGCAAGGGCACATACGGCAGGCGAGACGATGAATATGTTGAGGGAAGTTTTCCAAAATCGACTAATAAGTCTCAATGCTGAACATGAATTTCCACCGAGGTCATGTGATATTACGCCGTGTGATTTCTTTTTGTGGCCTTACCTTAAAAACACTATTTTTGAACTGCCTATTCCTGATTTAAACCATCTGCAGGCTCGACTTATAGACAAGATTCGTGAAATTAACAATACCCCGAGCATCTTAGAAAATGTCTTTAATTCTTTGAGGAACAAGGTGTGAAAAGTGCTTGGAACAAGGAGGGGACACTTTCAGCAGCTGCTTTAATTTATTGTTATAACAAGGAGGGGGACACTTTCCGCAGCTCCTTTAATTGTTTGTTATTGTTATCACGATTATTCTTTAAAATAAAGTTATATAGTTATTAACGTTATTGAAACTGACAGCTGCTATACAGCTCGTCGAGAAATGAGGTTAAGTTGGTCGTTATAAGTTACTCCCTACGTCCAATGTGTCAGAGCCAACTTCGACCACGTTTTTATTTGAACGCTCGTTACTTTTTGGTGAAATAAAAAAAATCTGTAATCACAGTTAAAAAACATGCTCAAAAATTCAAAAATAATAAAAAATGACTTGCGGAAATGAATTTTTTCGGTAATTGTTGACAATAATTTGTTTAAATTTAAAAAATAATCAAAAACTGATTACACCATTCAATTGTACGGAAAATAATACAAAAAAACTGTCTCATTATTTGACCCAAAACTTTATTTTTGTACAGTATTGCTATAAACATCTAAGTCGAATAGTGAATAAATAAAATAAATATTTTTTTCCGTACGATCGGTTAGTGTACTTATTTTTTTTTAATTTTGATGAATTCATAGATATACAGTGTGTCCAAGATAAGGATGGGATAGCATTAGGATTTAGGAAACGGTAAGACATACAGCGTGGCTCAAATTATAAAAAGCTGTATTTTTTATACCTAACAATTTGCCGTTTAGAAAGTTTTAAAATTCCGGATACTTCCGGAGATATCCGGAAAAACCCGAAATTTTGCAAAATCGTTTTATTTTTTTCTAGCTTTATTTGAAAACGAACTTTAAAATAAATTGCATATTTACAATGCCACTATTTTCGCTCTATCCAATGGCGACAACATTTTTGCAATCCGAGGTTTCGTCTTCGAGGAGCCATCATCAGGTTAATTTTTTTAAATACGTCGCTGCTGTTTTTATGACAAAATCTAATTCTGAATGTAGATTTTTGCGTGATCTACCACTTTTGTATTGAATACTTTTTTGTTTGACGTCAAATTTCGCCTGATATCCTAATGATACAATTTTTCACAACTTTTCAACCCCTCAAATCAACCCTCCGCTAACCCTGCTCACTAATTTTTTTTCGTTTATTATAAGCACCTTTACCATTTCCACTTATAAAAGTCCAGGTAACAATTTCTTTCCCTATAAATGAATTATTTTGATCGGTCTAATCTACCGTTTTTGAGACTTTTGGTCTTAGAAGTATATCTACTTTTTTAAAGCCACTAAATACCTGTA